CTGCTGCTGCTTCTGCGGCTGCCGCTCTTGTTCTTGCGCATTTGTAGCTTGGAAGTCCGCCTCGTAGTGTCTAGTGGAGGCTTGATGAAGATGAGCTGAACATGGTCCTGATGGTACTTGTGGTAGTGTTATTGTTGGTGGGTTCTGCTGCTGCTGCTGCTTCTGCTGCGGCTGCCGCTGGCGGTGACACTGCTGTCGACCATTGCGGTGCCGACGATCATGCGTCGGAAGTGCAAGCTTTCTCCGCAAACTCGAGACTGCCGAGGACATGTTTGGAGCCCTACTGGGACACTCAGCGTGGCCAAAGGACTTGGCGGCTGCGAGGATGTCAATTGGGGCCGACTCGAAGTGATGTGAACCGTAAACGACCCGAAGCATCTGAAATGTCCTCCAGCACCCTACATCTTCTTCAGCCACCTCTGGCAGGAACTGCTGCGCTGCTTGCTCAGGACAGGGACTCTACCCACAGTCACACGCATTCTTGGCGACAACATGACTGTTGATGTTGAGCATTGTAATGGTGATGAATCAGGGTGAGATTACGGGTACGTACGGGCATGACCAGCCAATGACAACGATATTTGGGCTGCGGATGACCAGGATGTCTACCTCTCAGAACGGATAGGCACATCCCGCCGGCCCACGCTTTCGGGGCAGAACATGGATTCTCGTCAAGCCTTACCACTTTGCAGCCAAATTCGGCAGGACGATCCTTTTTTCCCAGAGCTTATGGTGGGAGCGTCTTGGTTTCAACATGTGCATAACTGCATCATGTGCTTTCCGGCATGCGAACAGGCAAGAGAGCAAGAGAGCAGCTATTGCCTTGATTGAGTTTGCTTCAGCTTGGCATTGCTGACTTGCACCTTTTTGCAGCGGTTTGGTTGGACTTGGCTGGCCCCAGACCCGTAGCCGCGTTAAATCATCAAACAGATGCGGCAGGAGACGCTTCAATTTGCTGCAACACTGAGTGGCCGTCGTGCAAAGGAGGCTGTGGAGGAGGACCGGGTGATTTTGTGTGCCTCGGGAAGGGCCGTCACTTGGGCAAGACTCGGCTGGATAAGTCCTCGGTGGGCACAGGTTGGTAGGCGTGCATGAATGCTGTCGGACGACGTTCGCAAGCGCTGCCCGCACTTATGTCTGCTTCAACAAAACTTGATGAGCGCGTGAGGCTGAGGCCTTGCTTCAGCGCGTGGGCCTCGCGGGCGCAGCCTCACGGCCGCCCGGCTGATCAAAGCCCCAGAATTGTGTGGCGGCCGATGGGTGTATGGCAGCAGTTGGAGCGTTTGACACAGCATTTGTGCCGTTCGGAAGATGAGGACTGATTCGGTAATGCCTGCGGTCTGAAAAGAGGTATCAGCGGATGTGGGAAAGAAGCCACGACAGCTCCCTCTGAAGGAGTCCTGGTTTGAGGCCCCACTTGGCTTATCAGCACAAGGCGGTATGGAGACTCCGGCTTTAGCGCTAGAAAGAGACCAGCCTGCAATACGGGTTTCGTCCATGCCCCCTGCCACCCAAATGAGCCCTTAAACTTAAACGCTAAGCCGTTAAACTCTAAACCCTAAACCCTAAACCAAAAAAATAACCCGAATGGGTTCAGGCGCGTCAGCTCTACCACCAAAGGCGAGCAGCGACGGCTGGCCGTGGCTTGCGCCCTCGCAGGCGCCACGATGGAACCCATGACGGTTCAATGAGTATGGCCGGTGAAGGTACATTGTAACATGCACTTTACAAAAGGATATACTTTCATATATTATACGGAATTATACGTATACACTAGAAAATACTTGTACATACTATCATACACTTTACGTGCTTTCGAGCCGAAGATGTCAGGCGAGCTGCCGGGGGCGCGCAGTCGCGCATTGCTCGTGGACGAGCCA